CTTCTGCTTCTTTCCAAGGCATATTATCAAGGATCTGGGAGTGAAGCCACTAGGACTTAAAGGATGCTGGTGTCACAGGAGGTGGCTTAACCTGTTGTACCATGATACTGGTCCCTTAAATATTCTTTTTTTTTTTTTTGACAGGCATTGTACACAGCGACAGAGAGACGCAGAGAGAGACAGAGAGAAACGTCTTTCCTTTTCCTGTTGGTCACCCACCCAATGGCCGCCGCGGCCGGCCCACCGCGCTGATCCGAAGGCAGGAGCCAGGTACTTCTCCTGGTCTACCATGGGGTGCAGGGCCCAAGGACCTAGGCCATCCTCCACTGCACTCCCTGCCACAGCAGAGAGCTGCCCTGGAAGGAGGGGCAACCGGGACAGAATCTGGTGTGCCGGCGCCGCTAGGTGGAGGATTAGCCTAGTGAGCCGCGGCGCTGGCCTATTTTTTCTTAAATACAGTAACAAATATCTTTCCCACTCCTTGTGTTCCTGCTACTCTGTGTGTTTTCTTTTAGAAATATTTTCTATGCTTGTGACCAGCATTGTTGTGCAGTGGGGTATCCTATATTGGAATTGTGGGGAGCAACCCGGACTAGACTGAGTTACTGGAATTAAGACTTATTCTATGCATCTGCTCTCCCACAATATGGCGCTGGGAGAGAAGAAAACAGCTTCTACACAGATGCCTCCAGTTCAGCCAATAAACTGTAGGACTTGCTCCTGATTGGAGGAGAGCAGCGTACTCGGCGTGTGGGCAGCCGAGTTGGGATTGGCGGAGGAGGACTATAAAGGAGGAGAGAGACGGCATGCACCAGGAACATCTAAGGGGAACATCTGAGGGAACACCTGTGGGAACACCTGTGCAGCCCCCGAGAGAGCCGGCCGGCGGTGTGCCGCTCCCCTGCGGAAGTGGGGAATGTGGCCAGGGGGAACCGCCCTTCCACGGAGGTGGAAGGGACAGTAGCCAACCCGGGAAGAACCAGCAGCAAACCCGGGGAGGGCCGAGCAGATGAAAGAACAGCGCAGGGTCCTGTGTCGTTCCTCCACGAAGAGGGGGAGCGACAGGAATGCTGGTTTGAATCCCAGCTGCTCTGCTTCCAATCCAGCTCCCTGCTAACATACCTGGGAAAACAGTGGAAAATGGCCCAACTGCTTGGGCCTCTGCCACACACATGAGAGACCTGAATGGAATTCCTGGCTCCTGGCTTCAGCCTGGCCCAGTCCTTTGTAGCCATTTGGGGAGTAAACCAGAGTATGGAAGATTTCTCTCTTGGTCTCTATTTCTGTCTCTGTCTCCATCTTCCTTTCCTGTCTCTGTAACTCTGCCTTTCAAATACATAAAATAAATCTTAAAACAAATTTTTTGATGGAATTTTTTCATAACCTTTTAATTTTTTTTCACCCTGATTACTTGATAGTTCAGGAAAAAAATAGTTCAGTTGGGGAAAAGTTGCAATTTGTTCTCTAATTGGAAAACTTTTTCATTTTTTTTTAAAAAACCGTGTCGTTAGATGAGATCCCTGAAATTAGAGAGATATAACTCCTGTTCTTTTCCCTGTAGCTTGCAGGCTATCAGCTGAATTAATAAGAAACTGACTTTTGGTGTAGATGAACAAAGATTAAAGTTATGTTTTTCCATTTCTTCCAACTGGATCTGAAAGATTCACTGCCTGAAATTTTGTAAAACTCAGGCACAAAATAAATTCTGTTGTAGTTTTCAGAATTTATAGTATTACAATCAGTATATTTTGGGGGAAGTTTATGATAGCTGACCTTTAGATGATCGTAAGTTATGCTGTAGTGATTTTAAAACAGTTTTTCTGAGTGCTAATTCACATAGCAAAGAATTCATCCATTGAAACCGTACAGTTCAGTTGTCTTTGGTATAGGTGTGCAGTCATCACAGCATATGATCTTGGAACATTTTTGTTGCCCCAAAAAGAAACCCAGTACCATGAACAGTCACTCTGTACTTCTCCCCAAATTCACCAGCCCTAGGCAACCACTAATGTGCTATTTATCACTATTGGTTTGCCTGTTTTGGACATTTTACATAAATGAATCCTGAAATATATTTTTTAAATGTCTGGTTTCTTTCATTTAACAGAAGGTTTTCAAGGTTCATCCATGTTGTACCCTGTAACAATATCTCATTCCTTGTAATTGACAGTAATATTCCTTTTGATTGATATTTATACTTTTATTTATCCATTCATCAGTTGATGGATATTTGAGTTGTTTCTACATGGTGGCCGTTATTAATAATGGGGCTTGAAACGTAAGTTTTTGTGTACACATATGTTTTCATTTTACTTGAGTCTGTAGCTAAGAGTGGAATTTCTGGTAGTTGTTTTTCCCATGTTTTACCTTTTGAGGAGCTTCCATGCTATTTTTTTTTTTAAGATTTATTTATTTTATTTGAAAGGCAGAGTTACAGAGAGGCTGAGGTGGGGGGGGGAGGGAGGGAGAGAGAGAGAGAGAGAGAGAGAGATGTCAGTCTTCCATCCAATGGTTCACTTCCCAGATGGCTGCAACGGCCAGAGCTGTGCCAATCCAAAGCCAGGAGCCAGGAGCTTCTTCTGGGTCTCCCACGTGGGTGCAGGGGTTCAAGGACTTGGGCTATCTTCCATTGCTTTCCCAGGCCATAGGAGAGAACTGAATTGGAAGTGGAGCAGCCAGGACTTGAACTGGTGCCCATTTGGGATGCTGTCACTGCAGGCAGTGGCTTCACCCACTATGCTATAGTGCTGGCCCATATACTATTTTCTGTAGTGGCTGCATGGCTTTATGTTTCTAGTACCAGGGTTTAAGAGTTCCAATCTTTCCATAGTCTCTAGCACTTTGTTATTATCTGTCTCTTGATTATAGACACTGTGGTGTTATGAAGTAGTATGTCATTGTATTGGCTAATGATATTGAACATCTTTCCATGTCCTTATTAGGCATCTGTTAATCTTTGGAGAAATGTCTGTTCATATCTTTTGCCATTTTAATTGGATTATCTTTTTATTATTGAGTTGTAAGAATTATTTCCTCATATATGTTTATATAGCAAATATTTTCTCCCTTTCTGTGGGTTGTTTTCAGTTTCTTGATGATGTACTTTGAATCACAGTTTTTAATTTTGATGAAATCCAATTTATATGTTCTTGCCCTGTTGCTTGTGTTTTTTGTTTTTGTAGCTAAGAAACCAGTGTTATGAAGATTGTCGTTTCTTCTTAGAGTTTATTGTTTGTTTTATTTAAAGTTAATTTTGTGTTTGTGTGGTCTAAGGATGGTATTCTGCTTCATGCTTTTGCATGTGGAAATCAAGTAGTCCCAGGACCATTTGTTGAAAAAAATTTTTTTTACATTATTGAATAGACTAGATACTCTTGCAGAATTTTTATTTTACCATAAATGTGAAGATTTGTATCAGGATCCTTTCCTCTGTCCCATTGACCTCCATGTCTGTCCATATGTTAATACTGTCTTTTTTTTTTCTTTAAGATTTTTTTTTTGTTAATTTGAAAGGCAGGCAGAGTTAGAGAGAGGGAGAGACAGAGAGAGTGAAAGAGAGATGGATATCTTCCATCCACTTGTTCATTGCCCAGATGTCTTAACAGCCCTGGGCCAGGACAAAGCCTTGAGCCTGGAACTCCATCTGGGTCTCCTATATGGGTGGAAAGACCCCAAGTACCTGGGACCTTAACTTAAAAATTCAAGTACCTGGGCTGCCTTCTGTTGCTTTCCCAGGAGTATTAGCAGGAAGCTGGATCAGAAGTGGAATAGCCAGAACTAGAACCTGCACTCATATTTAATTGCTGGCATTGCAAGCAGCAGCTTAACCTACTGTACCACAACACTGACCCTGCCAGTACGGTCTCGATTGCTTTTTAGTTAAGTGTGAAATTAGATCCTTTGAGTCCTCCAATTTTATATTTCTTTTAAAGTATTTTTGTGTTTATTCTGGCTTCCTTGTATTTCCATATGAATTTTAAGATCAGCTGTCAATGTCTGTAAAAAATGTAGCTGAGTTATTAGTATAGATTTAAGATAAATCTTGCTTTTAAAGTAGTAAATCTTTTGGTCTTTGAACATGAAGCATTCAAGGTATTTTACAGCAATGTTTTACAAATTTCTTACAATGTTTTAAATTTCAAGAATATGGTCAGCGCCGCGGCTCAATAGGCTAACTCTGCCTGCGGCGCTGGCACCACGGGTTCTAGTCCCGGTCAGGGCGCCAGATTTTGTCCCGGTTGCTCCTCTTCCAGGCCAGCTCTCTGCTGTGGCCCGGGAAGGCAGTGGAGGATGGCCCAAGTGCTTGGGCCTGCACCCGCATGGGAGACCAGGAGAAGCACCTGGCTCCTGCCTTCGGATCAGCGCGGTGCGCCGGCCGCAGTGCAATGGCCACAGCAGCCATTGAGGGGTGAAGCAACGGAAAAGGAAGACCTTTCTCTCTGTCTCTCTCTCACTGTCCACTCTGCCTGTCAAAAAAAAAAAAAAGTTTTAAGAATATAAATTAGTTTAAAATTTCTTACAACAATATTTTGTATTTTATTCCTAAGTAATTTAATTTTTTGATGCTATTGTATTTTCTTAAGTTTTGCTTTCAGATTGATCATTATTGATATACAGAAACACAATTACCTTTTATATATTGATTTTGTATCCTATAATATTACTAAACTCATTCACTAATTCTAATGGTTTTTTTCCATTGTTTAGGATTTTCTGTATGCCAGATAATGTCATCTGCAAGCAGAATTAATTTTCTTTCTTTCTTTCCCACCTCAATGTCTTTTATTTAATGTATTTCATTGTAATGGCTAAAAATGCTAATATAATTTGAATAGAAATCAACAATAGAGTGGACGTTCTTATCTTGTTCCTGAACTTTGAGAGAAAATATTGAATTGTAATAATTTTTTTTTACCCTGAAAAGAGTAGGTTGTATTTTTGCTTTGACGACTAATTTCCTTTTGATTCAAGATGTTTTCCCTTCTGTTTAACATACACAGATATGTGCTGATTAGAAAGCTGAACTGTGCAGTGAGAAAGAAGGACAAGCAGTGCCTTACAAAAATGGGGTTTGGGAGTGACCTGAAGAATTCACACGAAGCTGTGTTAAAATTGCAAGACTGGGAATTACGGTTACTGGAAACAGTGAAGAAATTTATGGCTCTGAGAATAAAAAGTGATAAAGAATATGCATCTACTTTACAGAACCTTTGTAATCAAGTTGATAAGGAAAGTACTGTACAGATGAATTATGTCAGCAATGTATCTAAGGTAAGAAGAATAATTTCATCATTCATTGCATATAACATCATAATTATGCTCACAGCAAATAGATCATTCTATTGAATGAGCATACCCACATTAACATACTAGGACAGTGGTTCCAGAATTTTTTGCTGAGTATCAGAATCTTATGGGGGAAGGTTTCCAAAATTATTTTGGGAACTTACCTGCTGATATTCTAATTCAATAGGTCTACAGAGGGACTTTGAAGTTTTTTCTGTAAATAAATATACAGGTTATTCTAGTGATTAGTCAGACTTGAGAGCTATTGTTAGAAATATTGGGTTTTTAAATTTTGTTTTCTGCTTTGGGTCAATTGACCTTTGCTGATTATTTCCTTTGATGCAAAGAAAATTTTAACCCATATTCCTGAATTCTTTGATGAATTGTTTGAAATATTTTAACCCATACCTCTCTCTTATTTTCTATCATTTCTTTGCTAAAATACTGGTAAATAAATAAATTAGTTTCCTCTTAAATCCACTGGATGAACTATATCTATCGAGATATCTATATATATATATATGTAGATACTTAGATATCCATAGATAGATATTTTCTGTAAGTTATATAAGAGATATGTAAGTTATATAAGAGATATAAAATACCTATATAGATATATATCTATATAGGTAGATGGATGCTTCCTATAAGTTTGTTGAAATTCCGTCCAGTCTTACTTGGCTCAGTTTTTTTTCATGAATTTGTGTTGGATCTTGTCACGTGGTTTTTCTTTGTCTATTTCTGGAGTGATGTTACCTTATCTCATTCCATATATTGGAAATTTGTGTTTTTTCCCTTTTTTCTGACCAATCTGGGTAGAGGTTTATTAATTTTACTAATATTATCTGAGAACTCCCTTTTGATTTTGTTGACTTAAAAAGATTTTTTTTTCTATTGCTTTGATTTCAGCTCTGAAGTCTACTGATTTTTCTTCCTCTTAATTTGTTTTTCATTTGCTCTCCCTCTTCCCTTGGTTTATTAAGGTGGAAGCGGAGATCACTGATTTGAGACCTGTCTTCTTTTGTAATACAAGGGTATAGTGTTCTAAATTTTTTTCCGAGTACTATTTCATCTGTATCCAGAAATTTTTCTATGCTTATTTTAATTTTCTTATAGTTAGGATTACATTTAGTTTCCTTTTTGATGTCTTTTTTGACAGATGTGTTCTTTGAAAGATTGTTATTTAATTTCCAAATAGTTGTTTTTTTCCATATGTATTTTTGTTAGGTATTCTGAATTTAGTTTTCCAAAAACTTATTTTGTATAATTACATGTTTTTAAATTTTTGAATACTACTTGTTTTATAACCCAGAATGAGGTCTGTTTTGGTAAATGTTGTATGTATACTTGATAAGAATATATACTGTTACGGTCAAGATGGTTGATAGTGGTGTCCCACTGTATTGTTTCTTTTTTAGTCAGAGTTCTCCGGAGAAGGAGAAGCAGAAGGGAAGCTATATATATGTAACAGGGAAGTCGAGAAGTCCCTCTGTGTGCTATCTGTAGCCTGGAGAACTGGGGAAGCCAGTGATGTAATTCTGTCTAAGGATGAAGGTCTGAGAACCGGGAGAGCTGATCTTGTTCTCCCAGTCTGAGGCCAAGGCCCGAGAACCTGAGGGGCTGTTGGTATAATTCTCAGAGTACAAAGGTCCTAGGACTTGGAGTTCTAATTCTGACTTCAGGAGGAGATGGATGTCTCAGCTCCAGAAGACAGAGCAAATGAGCCCTTCTTCATCCTTCTAGTTCTGTTAAGTTCTTACTACATTGCATGATGCCTGCCCATGTTGGTGAGGATGAATGTTTTTTAATTAATTTTATTTAATGTATACAAACTTAATGCATTTCTTACATACAAATCTAGGAACACAGTTGTTCTTCCCACTCTACCCTCCCTCCCTCCTACACTCCTACCCTTTTTCTTCCTCCCTCTCCTATTCCCATCTTCTTCTTCTTCTTCTTTTTCTTCTTCTTCTTTTTTTTTTTTTTTTTTTTTAGGATTTATTTATTTATTTGAAAGGCAGAGTTACAGAGATAGAGAGAAAGTTACAGAGATAGAGAGAAAGGTCCTCCATCTGCTAGTTCATTCCCCAGGTGGCCTCAATGGCCACAGCTGGGCAGATCCAAAGCGAGGAGCCAGGAGCCTCCTCCAGGTCTCCCTCGTGGGTGCAGGGAACAAAGAACTTAGGGCATCTTTACTGCTTTCCTAGGTCATACCAGACAGCTGGATTGGAAGTAGAGCAGCCGGGACACAAACTTGCACCAGTATGGGATGCCGACACTGCAGAACGGGACTTTAACTGGCTGTGCCACAGCTCACAGCGCCGGCCCCTCCCATTCTTATTTTTAAAAAGGTCTATTTTCAGTTAACTTTATGCTCATAAGATTGACCCTACACTAAATAAAGAGTTCAACAAATAGTATGAAGAAAAAAAAAACTGACACTGTGAGGATGAATCTCTTACTTAGTTGAGTGATTCAGATGCTGTCTCTTGTGGAAAAACCCTCATAGACATGCACAGAAATAATGTTGTACCAGCTTTCAGGTATCCTGTGATCCAGTCACTCCTGTTGCACTAATTATTGAGTTTTTTTTTTTTTTAGTGATTTATTTGAAAGGCAGAGTGACACACACACACACACATAACACACACAGAGCTAGAGAGAGAAAGAGAGAGAGAGAGATCTTGTATCTGCTGAGAGAGATCGCTTGATCTTTTATCTGTTGGTCCACTCCCCAAATGCTTCAATAGCTAGGGCTATGGCAGCCAGAGCCAGGAGTCAGAAATTCCATTCAGGTCTCTCACTTGGGTGGCAGGGACCCAAGGACTTGAGCTAACATATGCTGGCTCCCAGGTGCAGTTAGCAGAAAGCTGGAGCAGAAGCAGAGGTGACTCAGTCCAGGTACTCTGATATGGGATACAGGCATCCCAAGTAGTTGCTTAACTACTGCACCATGATGATCCCCTGAATTTTTCTTTATTACTTAAGGCTATTTGAAGTGTGTGCATTGTCTTCAATCCTGAGGGGCATGGTTGTTTGAGTTACTTTGGAAGTAGTATTGGGAGATGGAGACCTAGGCTGTCTTTGCTTCCAAATCCCTGGACTCTTGTTTCTCCATCATCCTAAAGCTCTTCTTTACTTCTTCTTTTAAAGTTTTATATATTTATTTGAAAGGAAGAGTGAGACACACACACACATGCACTCACACACACACACACAGAAAGAGAGAAAAGAGAGGGAGAGAGGGAGAGGGATCTTTCATTCATTGGTGAGAGAGCGCGAGTGATCAAGAGAGAGATGTTTTATTCATTGGTTCAATCCCCAGATGCCTGTTGACAGCCAGGGCTGGGCCAGTCCAAAGCCAGGAGCCCAGAACTCTGGGTCTTGAACTCCATCTCGTTCTCCCTGTGAGTGTCAGGAACCTAAGTATTTGGGCCATCATGTGCTGCTTCTCAGACGTAGTAGCAGAAAGCTGGACCACAAGCTGGGGAGCCTGGATTGCATCCCAGGCACTATGGTTTGGGATGTGTCCATCCTAAGAGGCAGCTTAACTGCTGTGCCACAGTGCCTGCCCTTCCTCTTTACTTCTTGGCATAACAATGTCTTAAATATTCCTTTTTATAATCCTGTTATAAACCTTTATCCTGGGAGTCCTGGTATTTTGGATATTAGTGGTATAACTAGTACTCAAACAGTACTTTATACTTTGTGTTTCTGTGTGGGTGCAAACTGTTGAAATCTTTACTTAGTATATACTAAATTGATCTTCTGTATATAAAGATAATTGAAGATGAATATTGATGTGAATGAGATGGGAGAGGGAGTGGGAGATGGGATGGTTGCGGGTGGGAGAGAGGTTATGGGGGAAAAAGCCGCTATAATCCAAAAGTTGTACTTTGGAAATTTATATTTATTAAATAAAAGTTAAAAAAAGAAAAAAATTAAACAAAATTTACAATGTATGGAATTTAAGATTTCACAGTATTTTTCAATTGCAAGTAATGCTGCAATGGGTACCATTGTATAGATGCACTTTTATATCATTATGAATGCCTTCACTAAGTTCCTGGAAATGGGATTTTTCAGCCCAAAATGTAAATGTGCATTTAGTTTAGTTGCAGGTTGACAATGTAAATATTTCCTCTGTAGATCTTGTATCATTTTGTATATTTATTAGAAATATATGAGGATGCCAGATTCCATTTAATCTGGACAACAGAGTGTGTTGTTAAACTTTTGAATTTTCTTCATCTGATAGGTAAGAAATTATATCTACTATGGTTTTATTTTATATTGCTCTAACAGTGATTGAAATTGAACAGTTTTTCATATGGTTAGTAGCTATTTTATTTTGAGTACTTGTTTTATTCTGTGCTAAAGAATAATTTTACTTTGTTTTCTTATTCACTTAAAATTACACTTGTCCCAAAACAGTCAACTCTGTCTAAAGTAATAGTGAGACAACTAATCCTTAGATAATATAACTTACTTGAAGGGTGATATTGGCTTATCTGTTAAACACAAAGTAAATTGAAATGTCAGTGCTTCATATATACTTGGGAATAAAAAGTAATGAAAAATGTTTTTTGGTGAACCAGCTTTATTATTTGTAGTCACTAAATACCACATATAATGTAACTTGAACCTGTGTAACTAGAGTGTGAGTTGTATAACTTTTGAAAGTGATTGTTATCAAGTTTGGCTGGTAATCAATTCTGATATGATGCTTGATATGAAAATAAGAATTGCTGCAACACAATTGATATATTAGGAAACAATTTGAACATAACATGAATTTTGTTAATGTGTGGAACTGGAGGAAGCAGCAGGTGAATTCAGAAAGCTGTAACCTTTGAGGCAGAATATATAGAAATATATATCAAACTTATATTTCAGTCCTTTGTTGGTTACCTTTGTTTAATACTTGGTTTTGAGCCACATCCTTCCACATGTGGTATTGCAACTTTCTGTCCAGTTTCAGATAA